TGAAAATTTCAATGGGAAAATGGAGCCAATTTTTGCCCGTTTTCGGTTTCTGGTGACATAGAGCCCCATGTGTTTGAAAACTCCATCGGCCGCCATTTTCCCATTGAAATTTTCAGCAAATCACTTATAACTTTTGATTAAGTTATCGGATTGGGCTGAAACTTTGGCATCTGGTTGTGACCTCTAACTCTACCTTTGGGCGGAGAATGAGCATTCGGCGATGCCTAGTTTATTTTTGCGGTAAAAAAAAACGTGTAAATTTTCTTTTGTGACACCCTGTATATAGACCGTTTTACTGAAAGAGGGCGAGAGAATGAAGGGGAAAGGGCTACCGGCGCTTTCCCCCTTTCTGATTGTGTAGAAAGAGTGAAAGTCCCGGATGAGAGGCTTCGCCGGTGTTGGGTGTCTGCTGTGCCCGAACTTCGTTCGCGCTTTCTTTTCTGTTTTAAACTCGCAAACTTAATTAGAACCAGAGGCTTCGATGGCAACAGTCCCCCGGTCATCGGGACACCATTGCTGGATCACAGGGTGCACGAATAAAAACAGAAAGCCTAGAATACTGTCCGAAGATATATGTAGCTTGCAAGGAATCCGGCAAGGCGAGAGCGGCTGCAATGTCTTTGAGCTCTATCGCTTTCCACATGACCCCTGTCTCGGTGGCAGTGGATTGCGTCCGTAAACCAAAAAGGCGTTTCCTCAACGCCATCCTCTCGACTTCGCTCGAAACATTTCGTGAATGGAGCGCGCACCAAACGCTGTACCGCCGACGCTCGCAATGTGCGTGCGAGTTTTCTCATGATAACTGCTGTTTCAGCTTGTAAAATTTCGTAACTGAATTTATCTTAATAGTGATAATTTCCAGTGGTGACTGACTCGATTTTATCATCTACAACACTTAGTTCAAGGCTCATTTCCGCCGCCGGGTGAGGCTGGAAATTGTTAAAAACGTGGTTCTATTAATTTTTTTTTTTTTTTTAATAGCGGTCTTTTGTGCGATACTAAAAAGCCGGCAAAATCGCTCCTTGGAGTGCCGCTGGTGGGTTGTTTCCGTTGACTAAGGCGCTTTGAGGCGCTTGATAGTCGCTGCAGGGAACGTCTCGTGTGTTGCGATCTGCGTTTTCGAGCCCAGTGTGCACGTTTCTTTATTTGAGTCATGGCATCCGCCAGTGTGGCGACGGAGGGAACAGCGGAAGCGAACGTGCCAGCTATAAAAATTGGAGGTGAGTACCCAAAATATTGCATCAAATAGTAAAATAATTCCTGGCTGCTTTGAGGCTTTCTGCTTCAGAAGAAAATATAAGAACAGGGACACAAACATAAAAACAGCACAGCAAGACGATATGTAGCAGCTCCGGGCGTTTTCAAAGATAATTGAGGTTCCCGTTTCGTGTATCGCTTGTTGATTACAACTAAAAGCGGCTACGTTGAAATAGGCCCCATCGCAAGCAAAAATGTATAAATGGTTCATCATTTCCAGTCATGTGGAAAGCAATGGAGCTTAAAAACATTCCAGCCCAGGGATTTCCCTAGACCCCCCCCCCCCTAGGGGGGGTTGAGACCCCCCCTAGTTTTTCCTGGACACCCCCCCTTGAATCTAAAAAAAGGAAAAAATAAAATAAAATTTGTTTTTTTTTTTCAGATTAAGTAGAAAACACCACCTCTCAGGTGTATATTATAGAGAAAGGGAAACATACATTACGGGTATGAGCATTTGGTTAATAGACGTCTGTAATTTAGCTAGTGGACTAAAAAAGGAACAGTTTTATATTTTATCTAGCCTCGCATCGCCTCCGCCTCCCCCCCCCCCCCCCCCCCCCCCCCCCCCCCCGAGCCATGGGGAGACCCCCCCCCCCCCCCCCCCTTGATTAGAATCCTGGGGAAACCCCTGTTCCAGCCGTACTTGCCTTGCCGGATTCCATGCAAGCTACATAGGTCCTCGGACAGCATTCGACGCTTTCTGTCGTTATTCGTGCACCGTATCACCCAGCAACGGTGTCCCGATGACCGGGGGACTCTCGCCATCGAAGACCATGGCTCTAATTAAGTTTGGGAGTTTGAAACGTAGAAGAAAGCGTGAACGAAGTTGGGGCACTGCAGACGCCCAACACTGGCCAAGCCTCTCATCCGGGACTTCCACCCTTTCTACACAATCAAAAAGGGGGAAAGCACTGGTAGCCCTTTCCCCTTTTCTCTCTCGCTCTCAAAATGGCGCTATCCACGATAAAACAATCTAGAGGCTAACGTGCGCTCGAGCATCTTGAGCACTCATCAAAGCTGTGTACGCGCACTCTTCACTTCTAAAATAGACTGTGGTGCTGCGTAACAGCAGTTTAAGCTGAGTTAACTGCGGTTAAGGGTGCCCGTAACAGTGGCGTAAAAGTGAAACAAAGTATAGCAAACGGCCGGAAGAGCGCAGCGGCGCAAGTGAGAATTTAGCAAGTTTTAGTAGACCGTGTTTCCCGCTCCGCTACGCCCCTCCGCTACCCGGAACTCTACAGCCAAGGCCATCGGTGCGCAGGCGCAGTGGCGGTTTCTTCGTAGCGGAGGGCTAGCGGAGCGGGAAACACGATCTACTAAAACTCCCTTTTATCTCGGCCTGAGGGTGCGCCGTGTTTGCGGAGCGATGCCACAGGCGGCGCAGGTAGTACCGTGTACGGGTGGTTATCATTTGAGCCCGTTCTCGTTTCGCCCTTCTCACTTGGCCCTTCTCAAAACAACCATTCTCAAGAAGATCTTCTCTCTTGGACTTGTCGCATTTGGCCCTTTCCCGCTTCGTCCTTCGCATTTCAACCCTTCTCATTTGAGTCCGTTCTCGGTTCGCCCTTCTTACTTGGCCCTTCTCAAAACAACCACTCTCAAAAAGATCTTCTCGTTCTGGCCCGTCGCATTTGGCCCTTTCCCGTTTCGTCTTTCGCATTCCAACTCTCCTCATTTGGGCCCGGTCTCGCTTCGCCCTTCTCCCCTGGCTCTTTTCAAAACAGCAATTCTCAAAAATATCTCGCTTTGACCCGTCGCACTTGACTCTTATCATACCAAAATCGTTTTTAGGGTAATATTAACAAATACATTGATACATTTTATGCGCGCGCGTGCGTGCGTGCGTGCGTGCGTGCGTGCGTGCGTGCGCGCGCGTGCGTGCGTGCGTGTGTGTGGGCGCGCGCGTGCGTGCGCGTGCGCGTGTGCGTGTGCGTGTGTGTGTGTGTGTGTGTGTGTGTGTGTGTGCCACGCAACAGGCATACTTTCTCTGCTAAGGATTTTAGCAGTGCGTCGAGGTCGTCGTGAAAAGCTGATAGCTGACAATAAAACAGACCAACTATTTATCGCAGCCAGACCATATTCCGAAATGTCAAGTTGTTTGAGGTCTCTCGACTTGGGACAATGCCACCACTTCTATAATGCAGTGGTTCTCAAATAGGGGTCTGCGAGGGCATCTTAGGGGTCCGCAAAGTCCTGTCCAACAATCAAGCACGGCAATATTAATTGTCTTTCTTAACGTTGAGAAGAAACGTTCCAATTTTCGGGTGAATACTCTCGTGTGTATGTCAATGAGATAAGACTACTTCACACTAGAAATTAGTTATATTCATTCATTAAATCATTATCATGATAACCTATACCTTTCTATTCCCTGCACCTCAAACGGGGTCCTCCATCTCTCCGCCTTTCTACAAGGGGTCTGCGAAACATCAATGGTTGAGAACCACCGCTATTATGTATGCTATTTCTGTTAAAACAAGTTTCCAGATTAGATGTTCATCGCTTCTTTTTTTCTCGTTTGCTTAGAGGAAGGGAAGCAGGCGTCAATGTACGATTCTCAGTGCGTACCTCTACACAAAACATATATCTGATGGTATGTTGGGGGCCCAAGCAAGGTAAGGCTCATCAACAAAACCGCGAAGGCATAACGACGTTAGAAGCATGCAGAACTAGTGCCATTCGGTTGTAGCGCGAACGGGCGAAACGAGAATAGGTCCAGTTGCGAAAAATACGATTTGGATCTTATGAGAAGGTTCAAACAATGCGGACCAAATAAGAATGGGACGAAATGCGCACGGTCAAAATGCGAATGGGACATTTTCACATAACGGGCACAATGAGAATTGTCCCAGTTGCGAAAAACACGATTCGGATCTTATGAGAAGGTTCAAACGAGAAGGACCAAATGAAAACGGGACGAAATGTGCAAGGTTCAATTGCGAATGGGACGTTTTGAGATACACCCACCGTGTACAGGCCGGAGCGCTGTTTCAGCTCATATTGTCCGCGATAGTACAGGCCATTTTACGCGGAAAGCAAGCGGACCCCGTATCACTTTTTGTGGAAACGCATTTAAGCGTCTTTCGCTGCCCTGTGGCATTTGCATGCTTCGAAAAATGGGCAACTAAAAAGAACGCTGTTTACAAAGCTGTTACATGAGCCTTCGGAATGAGTGTCCATTCGACTTGCTGGGCCGCAAACATTTGGTTAAGTAAGTGCAACAAATCACGACAACCATGGACGCAGAAATACGCTAGTTCTCTTGATCCAACACCCCTGCTTGAGCCTCAATTAAGCTGTTCGGAATTTAACCAATTTTACCAAGATGACAATTACCGACCCAAAGGTCCTGCCTGACCCGTCGGAATCAAATGAAATAAAGCGATGGAAGAACACTCGAAGTAATTGGGTCAATAAGTGGAAGATATGGCAGTACCTAGGCTTTGCGCGATTACAAATTTAGAATACGCTTACAATTCATTCAGGCTAATTAGCTTACCCAGCATCGGACGAGCACACAGGCTGCGCGAATGCAAGAGCAGCAGAAATGAGCAGTTCCGACGTTGCTCGTCAGGTGGCCAGATGCCACAAATTGGGCAAAATGTGTATTACACCTAAATAAACTTTTAAACTGCCAAATAAGTACAAATTTATTAGATTTTATTATAAAAATAAAGATAATTAGCATTGTTTTTGTTTTTTTTAAACACAATATTTGGTTCTTTAAAAGCGAACGGTGACTCAAGCAACTCAAGTCAACGGGGAAAGTGGCAGTGCCAACTCAGAAGTCGCCATGGCGCCGCAGGAGATGCTTCGACGAATGATGCTTTTATTCCTTTTGGGAACAATTTGCATGGTGCAAAATTTGCTTGCCACGGCAGAATGGAACACCAAGGACTACATGAAGAAGGAACACTCTCTCGTGAAACCTTACCAAGGTAGGAGCCTCGCGCTGTGTCTTGCTACGCACTTGGCGGCGTCTCGGAAAGTGGTTTGGGAGTCGCGAATATTTTTTTTTTCCTTGTTTTTAATTAGCCGGCGTTTTGTGTGGAACTAAGCGTTTTTTTCTAGAGTTTGCGGTAGTAATTGGTGAGTTTTAACTCCACCTCTCTGACTCTTTGCTTGCGAGTTATTGATCGCCACATGGGGGTGTCCGGGGGGTCGTGTCACGGGTCGCTTGTGCGCTTGTTTCCAACTTGCGTGGGGATTGCGGCCGTGATTCGCCGATGTCGTTTGCTCTCTGATCGCTTCCAACCGGCTTCGCGTTTCGTTTACCATTTACCAGGTAACTCAGCCGCGTGTGTATTACCGAACTCAGACTCCGTCAAATATGAAAATTGCGAGTTATATGTTATTCTGCGAGGATACTGAGAACACTCTCTTTCGCTCCCACGAACCGTTCAAAAAGCGATAAAATTGTGTACTCGCCCTGTTGCGTGTGTGCTAAGGCCAGAAATTTTAGTTATCCTCTTAACTTCCCACAGGAGTCCTCATACTCCTTTTATTGAGCTGTGTTACACTAAGGGTTAATTTCTTATCATAGCTCTTTATCATTCGATCGCAAAGAAAAGTTACCAGCCGCGACCTTTTCTCCTTCTCTGTCTCCTCCCGTTCTCTGCGCACCTATACAATTGAGTTATCCGTACTGCTTTTCCCCCAGATGCTCGTGGCAGGTGGCAAGCTTTTCTACGGCGCCGCGGCTGTCCTCGGCCAAATACATATACAAAGTATTTTTTCAAAGAGGCCGTTAATCGCCAGTGTCTGTTCAAAACCCTTGTCGGTTTTGAACAGACATTATTTGCCGTACGTTGGGGCTCCAGCTGCCCTCTGGTGTTGTTTATATTTGCTTTTATAGCCTTTCTGCTTGGATGCACCTTTGGTAGCGTGTGGAACCTATTCATGTTCCTACGTCATCAGCTGCATCATCAGTGGCGAAGCCAGCTGCGACCTGAGGCTGCAACAAGTGGCTGCTAAGGGCTTGTTTCCCCTATGGAAATGATACTGCGTTGGAGGCTGCTCTGCAGCCGACCTTTCCGGTGTCCGGCTGACGTTGTTCCTTCCGCATCTGTCCATTGTGTTGTGGGCCAGCGATCTGAGCACAGCTAGTGCCAGGGAGGGGCACCACTTGTCTGTCAGGTCATGTAGTGCGGAATGACGTCTGTTCTACGAGAGAGAACTTCCTTCTTGGCTTTAGGCCAGTTGCTTGCCCTTTGTTTTTGGAAAGAAGATACCATTATTTTCTTTTTCTTAAAAGGAACTTTTTGCACGAGTATTGTTTGTCGCAGTTCTTGTGGACAGGTGTGCCAGATGCCCTTTGTTGGATTGGCACATGGAGCCCCCAAATTTGACTTTGTGGACGGGTGGAGACTTTTTGTGTATGTTTTGGCTTCTTTCAATAGTCTTCCTGGTCAGTGATCCGTTCACACTGCTTTCTGGCTCAACGCTCAACTACGAGTAGTCTGTCCGGCCGTGTCTCTAACACACTACGTTTTTTTGATGATCCGTGTTTCAAAGGGGGCCAGGGTTGCGTGACATGTTATATGTAGTTAGTCCCATGACTGCCATGTTATATCCTCAATAAAAATTTTCTTTTTGCTCGAAGAGTCAGTGTGCTGTGAGAGAGGAAAAAGAGCACACATTCTAGAGACAAATAAATCATTGTCAGTTTGAGAGCTCCTTTTTTAAGGATCACATGTTTCTTGAGAGACATCTGCTATTTTTCAATCACTTCATAGGTGCTGGCGCTAAATAGCTGTACTAAATGTTAGTAAAACATATAAAATAGCGCAACAGAAAGACAAGGACAAGAAGTATACAGGACAGGCGTATACTTCTTGTCCTTGTCTTTCTGTTGTGCTATTTTATGTTTTACTAAGATGAACCAACTAGCCCAACAACGTACCCTACTGTACTAAATGTGTTCATTGTTTTCGCTTCATATTCAATCTTTTTTTTTTTTTTTTTGCATAAATAGGAAAGTTTTCACAGTTTTATCTGAAAAAGAAATCGATTCAGTTTGTTTATCCTATATCAGCTCTTTGCGAATTTCAGAGCTTGCATAAATGTTATTTATTTATTTATTTGTTCAGGACACCTGCTGAATCGTAAGGTATTTTGTTGCATTTTAATGGTGTGTGAATGACACAAGTGCCGCTAACTAACTACACAAAAAAAATGTAACGTGGGCAAGCAAAAAAAAATAGACAACTGCAATTTATGAAAAGATCTATTGTATTTGATACATCCTGTATGTCTAAATACTCAATTGAGCAGGTTCTTGTCATCTTGTATGGCTGAAAGCTTACTTTAAACACATATTTGTGTGCTTGAATGCAGGTACACTGTTAGCGCAAACAAGACAGTGGCACTTTTTTGCATTTTACTGGGGCAGGTATAGAACATTCCACTAAGGGCTCTTTGGGAGGTGCCATTTTGTTTGACTACAGTGCCATCTACATACACCCGGGCATTTCAACGAATTTGGCGGGGTAAAAGAGGGAAGGGGACATGCCCGATCCCTCTAGCAGATGATGAACCAGCCATTCTCAATATTTGGGCAGTTTTGGTGGGCTGTACCGGAACTGCCCAAACATTGCGGCTCCATTTCCCTCTCTCCTCTCACCCAAGTGAATTTTTTGTTATTTATGTACTTATACCTACTGCTAACCTTTTTTAGGAGGCTGTGGCAGGAAAGGTTAATACATTTTATTCTACTAGAAGTTAACCAAAAGTACAATAAAATGTAGAACATACACAGTAGTAATATAGAAATGCGACAACAAAAAAGACTAGAAACCTTACAAACATGTGTGTATAGTTGGTGACAGGTTAATAGTGAAGTGCAAGCTCCTCCCACCTCTTTCCACTTTAGCAGAGCGAACGCTGGAGAGAAGGCACCTTTTTCTCCGGCGTTCGCTCTGCTAAAGTGGAGAGATGGTGGGGGGAGCTTCCACTCTGCTCTCAATTTGTCACCAACTGTAGTCAACTTTTCATGGTCAGCCTTCAATTCGACTGGAGCCGAATTAACATGGACTTCAGGAAGACTGTTCCACTCTTCTATTGTTTGTGGGAAAAAATAGTATTGAAAAGAGTCTGTGCGACAAAGATATGGAACTTGCGCCCTATTGTGCAAACTTCGTGTAGCTCGGTCCAGTTGTGCCGTCAAATATCTTAGATCCTGTATTTTGGAATGGTCTATTGATGCGCACCAAATTTTTCCCCTGAGGTTAGAGTCCCAAATGTGCACTTTCCATCACACTACTAGTAGTTTTGATAACAGCCTCTAGATTCAAAAAGAAAAACCGACAAAACTGGCAATCACTTATTTGTGCTACAGTGTTTTGCTATGTTAACTGCATGACACTGCTTGTGTGAACATGACCTCACTGTTTTACGATAAGACTGTGATGGCGCAGGCGAGCTGGTGTAGATTTACCATTTTCTTGAACCACCTGAGACTGGGTGGAGAACTAAGAACCGAAAGTGGAAGAGACGGGAACAGAAAGGACAGGAGGCGTTGTCTCAAAGTCAGCTGACAGTTTATTTAGTAACACTTCTATATATACCAAAACCTCAAACATCGCCAACCAATCGCCGCAATCAAAAAACCCAAACTTCAGGTCCAAAGCCCAACAAAAGACATGACATATTTTCCGGATTTGTCATCGTCCTAGTACAAACAGTCTTTCCTTATCTGCCGATAGTCCAAGCTTCTGCAGACGCAAAGAACCCCCACCACTTTTTGAATCCTGACCCAACGTGCTGAACAGATTACCAGTAAACACATGTGCCTAAAAAAAAAAAAAAGTTATTATTTAGACAATTTACTTTCAAAGCGAAAAGACCCACACACATCAACTATCCACGTTACACCCGCAAAAAGGACTTGGAAGTGGGACCCAGAATCAGCGATGCCTGACTTATGCAGTTGCCTATAGAATCAGTCCTAAACGTCTCTTTCACTACCCTTTTGACATTGTTCTCCTCCCTGCACACGACTTCTGTTCCCGACCACTCTGCCGTGCAGTTGCTACACTCTTGTACATGTTTTGCTATATGTGAATTAGCCGCTTTGATCTTTACATTTCTCTTATGCTCTGTTATTCTGTCATTCACACATCTCGAGGTTTGCCCAATGTATTTGAATCCACACACTAACGGTATCTTGTACACTACTCCATTTTCACACGGCACTGATTTTTCCCGATGGGCTTTCTGGCACCCCTTTTTCTGTCAAGTAAAGTGTTAGATTACCCAACTTGCAGTCTGTGCTAAATACTTTGGTATTTTACCTTAAATGGGTATTGGCGAGCACCAAATTTTACTGCTTTGGTTAGTGTTCGACATGAGTACTTCCCACTATTAAGCTGGTGGGTTTGACAACAACCTTGTATTTTGAAAAGAAAAAGTTAAGAAAAAAAAAAAAGTTATCGCTTGTTCGCATTAAGTCTAACGTCGTGCTATGTTGATGCACCATCATTTTGGGCTTGATGCCAACTTGTGAAAATCTGACGCAATAGAGGGCCGATTGAATTTTGGGCTTATTCTACCATACTGCGCCACTAAAAGTTAATTTTCTTCAACGGGGTCTACAAGGAAGGCTTGGATTCATAAGTCTAGAACAATTATCCTTAGTATGTTCTGGGCATGGATGTTAAAGCACAGAAGACATTTGAATGCCAGGAACAGCACCGTGTTGCAGGATGCATCACTTCATGGTTGTGCGCATGTCAATTCAATGCAGTCCCCATATTTTTAGTAGTACTAAAACTCTCCTACATATGATGCAAATCATGAAAATCAAAAGCAAGGTGTGGTTAGGTACCTTCGGATGGGTGGTGAACTGTGAAGCATTGCAGCTGACAATCCATATTTTTGTCATAGTGACTTCACCTCCTCGCATGTCCTTCGTCACAAAACTGTGATGTAATTCTAATTTTGTGAGGAGTTTTATGGTCATTTTTGTATTCTAAGGCATGCTCTTCTGTGCAGTAGCTCGGAGGGTTTGAGCACTGAGCTGTGGGGAGCGCCTTGATTACATACTTTTCCTCCCTGCAGCATTGCAATGGGCACAACCTCTATGCTTGATGGTGCTTCATGTAAGCACGAGCTTGTCCAACTTTAGGCACTTACCACTGCCAGGCGCTTGTGCCTGTGGTTTTTCCTTTTTTGCATAATTAAAGATAAATTGTTGAGTGTGACCTTGGCAAAGGAAGTGCAGATGGTTAAGAGCTTTTTCTTTTAAGCACTGCCAAGATTGATCATGCCCGTCTGGTGGTGTTTTCAGGAGCGGGCATGACTATCCCAAACTGGGACTTCCTTGGAAACACGATGGTTACCGGCCAGTACATTCGACTGACACCAGACCGCCAGAGCTCGAAGGGCGCAATATGGAATAATGTTGTAAGTAGGGCTGTTGGTGCATCTGGTCCCTTCCGCTAACATTTGAGCCATACTTATTGCTGCACTTAGCATGTGAAGTGGCTCTCGCCACAAACCACAATGTGTTCGTGAGGCTACTTATATGAAATGTGTTGTGTTAAAGTATTTATTTTTTAACAATTTTTCATCTTCTACTTTGCAAATTCCCATTTCTGGTTGGTGTGATCCTGACTTGTATGGCAAAGACAGAAATAATAGTGAAGAAAAATTGAACCATGCTTGTAATACTGGCATAGGCATTAATGCAAGAAAGATAATGATAAGGTTTTTTGTTTTTGTTTTTTGGTGAAAAACCTAATTTTGCTATGTACATGTTTTACTGTAGTGGCAGATTAGGAGTTGGTAAGATGGCAAAAGACTGAAAAGTAATGCTTCCCAATGTCTGCTCTGGCGGGAGCATAGCGGACTTAAACCCAATCTAAACAAATGAATTCGGCAAAGGCATGGTTGCATACTGTGCCCTTCTATAACTTTCTTTTGAACAAAGCACACGTCTAATTTTCTGCACAATGTGAAAGGTGCCAATCATGAGATACGAAAAGGTCAGTTAGGAAGCCACAGATAGCTGTTGGACTCAAAATAGCGACTTACACTCAAGTTTTGAGCACGACATCATTGACCTGCTGAGAGTCCAAGAGCGTGTTGCCTTTTTGGTTAGAATGCATTCTTGGCTGTGCTGTTCATTGGTTTCTTTCATAAATTACAATGATTAGCCCTCTCGATAGCGTGCAGGAAGGTAGAAATGAGAGGTTTGTTCATAAAACAATTGTTCTAGATTTCAGTAAATGGGACATATACTGCTAATACTCCCTTTGTAGTGCCCACTTGGAGCATTTGGAGGCAGTTGAGTATACACTGACTTCATCTTTCCAGCCTTGCAAGTCCAAAAACTGGGAAATGCACGTGCATTTCAAGGTTCATGGCAGTGGCAAGGAGTTGTTTGGCGACGGGTTTGCAATTTGGTACGCCAAGGAAGCCTTACAGCTAGGTGAGGCAAGACAACTGCAGTCATTACTCTTAGGTTCTGGTGGGCGAGAGTATTTTATTAGGACTGTGCTCTTTCTTCAGATACCATTCCGCTTAGGTTCATATCCCTTTCCATCTTGAAAAACCCTCAGAGACAGAGGAAACAGGAATACTCTGACACAATGTCAAACTAGGTGCTGTGTTTGTGACCTTGTGTTATATCATTCCATTACATTTAGCTTTCCTATGTCTGTGTTTTCCACCACGGAAGTTGTTTCCCTGTTGAATCATTTTTTTGTCAGTATGTTTTATTGCTGGTAAAATCAAATTACTTGCTTCACTGCCTCGTTGACTCTGTGGTCCTGGCACACATTCCAGTCCCTACAAATGAAACCTTCTCATCTTTCTTGGTACCTGCAGCAAATAATGAGAATTGCACTTTTCACTGAAAGCATGTATATGAATGTGTGATTGGAACTTAAGAATACCCTGTGTAGCATAAGATCAGCTATGATAGCATTGTGAGCCCTGTGGGACTGATGCATATGCTTATAAAGCTTAGCTAGAAAACAAGGATATGGCTTGAAAACCAGGTGCACTAAAGAATTGTCCAAGCTAATGGCCGTTACTGTAAACACAGGCAGTGCAGAATACGAAAGCTGAAAGATTGAGACTCGCATCAAATTTTATTTTAAAATAAAAAAAAAAAAAAAACTCACCCCCATTCCCGCCCCCCCAAAAAAAGTGTGATGACAGAGTGTATGTTCACTTGGTAAATTTAACAGGACAGCACAGATGCCCCTGCGTACCGAGAATGTATTTTATGTACTATGGGAGTTGTCGGTATGACCATGGTGACCATGGTGCAGATCTGCTGGGCAAGGTTCAGTGGGCTTGCCACCTAGATGTTTTATTTAAAATCGAGCATCTAAAAACTCCCAAGTTCGATTATTTCAGTAGGAAGTTCGAAAATTTCAAACCTTCGCAAGTCTGGATTTACGTTCTGCACCCCAAATTCTTGAACGCGCCCAACTCGGTCTTCAGAAAGCTCACAGTTGTCAAACTTATATGAGTATTGAAAAGATTGCACTATTCAAACTTGCCTGTTTCATGCATCTAGGGGTTTCTTGGTTTGTATTGCATTTTCTTATGCGGTGAGGTGCCTGCCATTGGTTTGATTGAAATGGTACAGTGATGTGATTATGCTTGTTACAGGTCCCGTGTTTGGAAGCAAAGACAAGTTTTCAGGGCTGGCCATCTTTTTTGATACTTATGCCAATCAGAATGGACCCCACAATGTGAGTATGATTTTGGATCTAAGCATTTAGAGTAGATGCATATCATGAATGGGCACATTTCTGCATAAGTATTGGGACTTGATTTATAAAGAGTGGTGGGACTACAAAAGTTTCAAGCTCCAAATGTTGTACAGCAGCTGTATGTTTGTCGTATGGTACCCCAAGGTAGTAAGTTGGACGGGTAGTCAACAATGGTCCTGCCGACGTCTGAACCCTCGGTAACGTTGACTCAGCTCTCCGACGATGCAATTTTCCTGTAAGATTACAAACAAGTTGGTACCAAAAAGATAGGAGTCGCGTTACATTATTCTTAAAGGGAATTGATACTCTTCGCTTGTTTTTTCTGAGAGATGATGTTTTTAATAAAGGAATACAGTAGAAAGAGCTGGTTAGACATTGGGTTTACATCCTAATGCTCACTTTTTATCATGAAAAAGGACACTGCATGCAAACTGATGTCATAACTTGCCCTTGTGCCATTGCAGCATGGCCACCCTTACATCTCGGCAATGGTGAACAATGGGACGCTGTCGTACGACCACGACCGGGATGGCACGCACACAGAGTTGGCGGGCTGTGAGGCCAAGTTCCGTAATCTCGACCACGACACCCACATTGCCGTGCGCTACGAGAATGACGTTCTGACGGTACTTCGTTGCCTCTTTGAGCCTCACTAATGTTTGTCACAGTGTGCTCGCGTCTTGTGCCCAGTGTTGGCAGCAGTTTTTCCACTAAATTCAGCGGTTCTCAGCGTTGTCTAGAGTTAGAAGTTGCCGTTTAGTGGGTGGCTGGATTTTTAGCAGTTTTGAAGATGCATCGGCATTTTTTCTGGGGGTGTAAAATGTTTTATAGCTTCCGTTTATCAATCGTAGATGGCTGAAGTTCTGTGGTAAGTGCAAGTCGTAGGGTCGTCGCCTTTGCCTGCTCGTAATGCTCGCAATGCCATTAAGACATTACTGTGGCAAACATTCGAACATGCTTTGAACTGATTTGTGCGTATGTGTTTTCCAAGTCTGTGAGATCAAATAACGGTAATAAAGTATGCACTAAAATTTAAAGAAAAGGGGGATGGGAGGCTCTGCAGAGCGCAAATTTCTGCTTCTTGCACAGCGGCTGCGATGACATCAGAACGCCGAGCTCTTATTGGCTGATTGAAAAAAATAGTGGGTAGACCTCATCTAGCATTCAGGTCTACCCACTATCCTTTCAATCGAAGCTCGGTGTCGTTTTGACATCACTGCAACTCCTGCGCAAGAAGAGACGACTTGCTCTCCGCATAAGACGGGTGGCCAAACCACGGCTCGCGAGCCACATGCAGCTCTTCGGGTGCCCAAGTGCAGCTAGTGGCTCCCTAGTAAACCCCCCATGCAGGCAGGCTGTGTTTTGTCAGCTTTGTGCCATCATACGCACATCGGACAAGGTCCTTGTTCTATGAATGGAAACCCAAAAGTGGGAAACATACTGAGCAATCGCTTAATGAGTGGAATTGAAGGTGGCCACCGACCGAGCAGGAAAAACAAATGCAGACAATGCCTAGAAACAAATGCAAGCGGTGCCATGCCTCCTTTTTATTGCCGCTCTTCATTTAAAATGTTTTTATTTTATGGCTGTGAATATGTCTGCCTGGCTACCTCTGGTATAGGACTTAAAAGGGGCACTAAACAACTTTCTGCGATAGTCTTTATGGTCATAGCTCTATCTATGGACTCTAAGCATCCTAGAAAACGAAGCACTACATTCAAGCGTGGCAGATTTCTCTATTGAAATTGGCATCAAAGATTGATTAGCTTGGATGTATCACAGACAACAGAGGCTGCCGTCGGACAAGGAGAAAGGCTTCTCTCCAACGGCGCCCTCTGGTGTCTGCGGTAGTTGCGATGTAATCAATCTTCGATACCGATTTTAATAGATAAATATGCCACGCTTGAATGTAATGCTTGGTTTTCTAGGATGTTTAGAGTCCATAGATTGAGTAATGACCATAAAGACTATCGCAGAAAGTGGTTTAGTGTGGTTAGTGAAAGTTCCAAGCAACATGAGACTTGCGAGATGCCACTACCGCAAAACAGAACTTTCTGCAAGGCTTGCGAATTTGGTCGTTGAAGCTTTGAACTGCCACCAAAAGTTGGACAAAAGATCAGAACAATGGAGGTGTATGTCACTAGTAGTGCTGGGATTTTCGGAAGATGTCCCAATAATAATGTCGACTACTAGTAGACATCTACCAAGCCATTTCGATCTGATTTTCAACAACTTTGTTGTCCCAAATCATCCTGAATTTATGTTGCGTCTCCCATGACATTACAGATTTTCCTGATTATCTAGATTTACCATAAAATGTCCCGTCATTTAACTCGCACACCTGTACACAGTGTGCCTTTCACCCGTTGATAATATTTCTGCATCGGCAAGGAGCTTGCGTGATCTTCTTTTGCCAATGGTACAGTGGCGTCCGAACTGCACGTGTTGGCGAATATGAGCACCTGCCTTCAGGCAACGTGCAGCCTCTCTCGAACGAGAAAGTATCAAAGGAGCATGTGATCTTAAATTGCACCGACATTTCCCCGCCCACCGACCCGCTCGTCATTGCTAATTGCAGCACTCTGCTTCGAGACAGTGGACTGTCCAAAGTGTTGGTGATGATGGCTTATGCCAGTAGAGCTCACTGAAGCAGTTCTTTAACTTTAGTGGTTCACGCCTGAATAGAAGTCTCGTTTTAAATGTGATAACATGTATCTGTTATCGCATTAAGTGGGACAGTTCAGCGTGAATTTATTAATGCTTGCTGGAACTTGTGACCCGATGGGGTCCTGTAAAAAAGGCTGCTTGCCACAATGACTGACCAAGCTTCACATATGCAAGTCGCATTCCAGTCTCAAATACATTTTTGCTAACCTAAAGCCTGTTAGTTCCCTTGCTCATGCTCTGCATCGCATGGAAGAGTAGATTTGCGAGATGCACCCTATGGTAAATTTGTTTGTGTCCGACATGAACAAAAGTGCTCTCGAGATCCGTGAAGCAGCATTTGGTCCTCTTCACCACTATAAACCTACCCTTGTCTCCTGAGCCTGTGGTGACCCAATCGGGTACATTTTCAAGAGCATTGATGTGCTACGCAGAAAACCACGACAAGGTGACAGACTTTGTGAAGAAATTAAAGCTGACAACTGCTGCCGCAAAGCTGCTGCAAGAAATTATAACCAGCGATGCTCTTGCTAGTGAGCAGTTCAGCATCGAGAAGTATGGATTTATTTCAAACGCGGTTGCACGGCTGGAAATCGAGGGGCTTGGTCTAAAGACACAGTTTGAAATCTTTGATTGTGACAGAGAAGTTGGATGGTCCTGCGAAAGACAAACTTTGTAAATCGGAGCGATTGTTCAACTAAGAGTCTGTTAATAGAGGAAAGGCATAGCCTAAGCAACTAGACACTTAAGATGTTTCAGAGTGTTTACTTCACTGCAAGAGTGAAGGGAAAGCAAGACAGTCCTTCGCTGCAAGAGTGAAGGACTGTGTGTTTTGGTAATAAAATTAGGCTGATTAAATATTTCAGCGCTAATAAAAACACTGACTGTATTCACGAAGTGCACAATGTACTGGAAAATATTTTTTTTTGCATGCCCTGTCCAGATTTTGTCACGATTTCAGTAATATTTTTGTCCCGGTGTTTCCAGCTCTAGCAATAGAAACTCACCTGGAACCAGTGTAACAGGAAGATGACGCTGTGATTATTGTTCTGTGCATGGAAGCGGTCAGAGTAAAAAAAGGAGAGCTTCCTTTTTAAAGATTATTTTTTATTTGTTGATATTGCCTCTAAACCAATTATACCAGTAAAGTGCATTAGAAATGTATTCTTGCCCCGTGCCTTGAATTTTTTAGTTTTTCGGGATATCTATTGTGGATTTTTTTTTTTAGTTGTCAACACTGCTCTTATCTCATGGTCAGGTCTCAACGGACATTGAGGGAAAGAATGCTTGGAAGGAGTGCTTCACAGTGAAGGGTGTGCAGCTGCCGACCAACTACTACTTCGGAGCGTCCGCAGTTACTGGCGACCTTTCGGACAACCACGACATCATCTCGATGAAGCTGTTCGAGATTGACCTTCCAACCGAGGTATGTAACGCCCCGGGTGCAGCTGGGTAGTGAAGGCGGGGAGGGGGCGTGGCGTAGTGGGCCCGCCCCGGGTGCCGCTGACCCTAGTGACGCCACTGCGTAACACTCTGTGCAACTTTTCTTTTTGTGAATTCAGTTGCACTTAATGAATTGATCGGGAACTGTTCCTTTTTCAGAAACAGCGGGATACTGAAGACCGATCCAAGATAGTTCCATCTGCATCATATTTTGCACCTCCCAGAGGTGAGTGCCAATCCTTGTACCACAAGTTTCCCTGGACTCTTTAGTTTCAGCCAGTAAGATTGAACACTGAAGAAATCTGCAGTGATACAATTACTCTGCCATTTGTGACAAGCTGCACCAAAGTGCTCACTGTGTTCCATTCTGCCATGTTTCACTACGCAGTCTGCACTAACATAGGTCGGTTCAACCTTTATATGGAACGCTGACAGTGCTTCGCAAGTTTTCGCAGTATTTGTCATCAATTAGAGTTTGTTTGGACAGGTTAGTTTGCTATCGCAGTGCGGAGAAGTGAAACTCGCAAAGTGGGCACTGCGCAGTTCATGCAGTTTGTTCTGTTGCTGCAATGCACAACATATTTTATACACTGATCAGCCAAAACACTGACCACCCACTTAGTACAGTATTGAGTGACCTTTGGCACACAAAACAGCTGAAGCCAGTCTTGGCAAGAATTGTACAAGTCCTTGGCAAGTGACCCGAGGAAGATTGTACCAGATTTGCAAGCACAGGTATTGCAGTTCCTGTAGATTACGAGGAGGTGGATTACGAGCTCCAAGCCGGCGCTCCTTCACATTGCGGATTGCTATCTGGCGAGTTGGGTGGCCGGGACATTGACTGGAATTCATCATCATGCTCTTCAAACCACATTAGCACAATTTTGGCCTTGTCACATGAAGCAGTGTTTTGTTAGAAGATTCCAGTTCCGGTGGGGAAGACAGAAGCCATGAATGGGTGTAACTGGTCAACAGTGACGTTGACATAGTCCGCAGTTTTCATAGTGTCCTCTACAACAACTGCTCGTCGCAGTGATGCCCATGAGAACGTCCCCCAAAAGCTTAATACTGCCACCATCGGCTACCATCCGCATCAGCAGATAATGTGGATGGTACTTTGTCCAGGCACGCTCATTCATAATGTAGGGGTGGTCATAATGTTTTGGCTGATCAGTCTATGCACTCTGTGCAGTATGACGAGGAATCGCGCAAGCATGCTTCCTGCATCACACGTGCTGCTCTGGAAGCACCGAATGGCGATAACTGTAGTCTCCTCATGAGAGTTGTACTTAGGCAAGGCTATTGTGGTTTAATAGAAAACTTGAGCTATCCTGTGAAAATTGCCTCGCTGTAGTGCAGTCACATGCAAAGAAGAAAAATACTCCTGAAATAAAGAATCACTGGCTCAAGTCTGGCATCTCTTTAGAAAAAGGAATTTGATACATGCTGATGCAACTCTACTTGCCATTAAACTTCTACAAAAAAAATAAGTGTGGCTATTTTAGGTATGTGAGTTAGGCTGCAATATCCCGAGTAGTTGCATGTCATTGTAAGAGTATTCCTAAATCTCCTTGACTAGATTTAGCTGGGTTTCAATCTAGGTAAAATTTTTATGTCAAATACATGGTTAACTTTTCATTTCTGTGTAGGTCTTCGGCTTTTCGATGGTGCAGTGAATAAATATACAGGGTTTTTTTGTTTTTTAGGGGCGAAGCTCCTTAGGGGCTAGCCATGTCCGTATGTCCGTCCGATGTCTGGCGTCAAGTGCTCATGCTCACAAGCACGTGCTCCCGTGCTCGTGTAAGGAAAAAAATAATAAAAACAACTGCATCTCCACGTGGTGAATGATGTTGATTGGGGCGAACCTCTGGTGGTGCTTGTCTGCGTAGACGCTGAGCCACAGCATGCCGAGCCTTTCGTTCGTTTTCATCCATGTCAGAAAGAATGTGTGGTATGGAACGTGGTTATATACGCATTTGAGCATTTGACCGCAGCGCCCTCCCGTTTATAAACGTTGAGCCAATGCATGCAAAGTTTAACGCGATTATATACGCATTTGACCACAGCGCCCTCTCCTATATAGACGTTGAGCGGCTACATGCAACGTTTCATCCGTGACATCCCCAGCTCTCGAGTTACTACCACATCTCAGAGCCCCCTACTCGTCCCGCAGTCGTGGCCAAGTGGTTAAGGCGATGGACTAGAAATCCATTGGGGTCTCCCCGCACGGGTTCGAATCCTGTCGATTGCACAAACATTTTTTTTTTTTTTTGCCCTCCACGAGCACGAATACCAGCAAGATCGATGTGAGCACGGACGCCAGACGGACAAGGCTAGACCCTAAGGAGCTTCACCCCTAAAATTTTTCTTATGAGCTACTATGCAACAAATTTCGGTAGCTGCGGCTGTGTGAAAACAAGACTGAAACGTCGAAGAGCTCAAAACACCCGAAAAACACTGCCCCCGAAGTTGGTCTAGTGTGTTGCACTGTCCCAACTTTGGAGACGGCGTTCTTTGGTTTTTTTCAGTCTTTTCCATGACTTGCTCTTGGTTTTGATTTGAAATAATCGTTTTTGCGACTTATTTGGTTTTAGGGGAACCACTTAAATGCTTCCAGTGCCATTTAAAGATATCAAAATATGTTATTAGTGCATAACTGTGTCTAAACAGTGCCAGAAAATTAGTTTTAACGATGCTGATGGCAGAACATAGTAATTGTGGTGTAGTTGTTGCGACATAAAGGCACTGGGGAAAATTGCCACGTCTGAAGTAGGCCCCGTGTGCTTTGCAAGGTCGTGCCAACCTCCCTCTAGAGATGTAGCTGGAACGACTCCCTTGCTCCACATAAGTGGGGCAGTCAGACAAAATTGTGTGCGGATTTGTTGACTGGTCCCTTTTTCTTTCTCCAGATCACATTGAAGATCCACCCCCAGCAATGTCTGGAACCAAGCTCTTCCTGATTGTGCTTTGTGCCATCCTCGGTCTGGTTTTGTGCATCATTGTTGGATTCATAGTGTTCCAGAAGCAGCAAGAAACATCCAGAAAAAGGTTTTACTGATTCCAGAAGTGGGGGTGGTGATAAGGTGCCAGTCCTTCCAAGAGTTCCAAGGAGGTGGACAGAACAGTCATTGCAAACAGGCCTGCAGGAGTGAGCAGTTTTTTTGTTTCTGGCCATGTATTTTTTTAGTTTTTCCTTATACATTTCATGGTCATGTTTTTTTGTCGTTTTTTTATGGCTACCAATACTACTAGTTGTCAATGTTGTGTATATGTGTGAATGAATGCTTCAACAATGTGTAAATGAATTAGTTGAGTGGTAGGCTGCCTTGGAGGTGGGTGGGGATATCCGCCCACGGCAGCCTGGGTGTGGGTGACTACGATTGATTGCATGGTGTACTGCTAATTTTTAGAGCAGACGGCAGGGCATTGTTGTTTCTTCCGAGGGTTTTGTCCTCTTGTGTCTCGCCGATTTTGGAAAAAGGGTATCAATAAACATCTTTTTGGGACATTTTATTTGGCAGCTAGTTGTGTTTCCTCAGCACTGCATTCTGTGGAGCTGCTCCTTGATCACTTCAATTTGTTGAGCACTGGGAAAGAAAATAAAATGTATAAACCGGCCCCGCATGTGCCAGCGGAAATTGTGTTGAGACACCATATGCCATACCATTTCTGTATTGCGTCGGCCCTGAAAACGGAAAAAGTGGCCCGTTAAAACGCAAACAAAACAACTGTGCCTAAACCACGCTGTACCATGAGGTTCAGTTGCAATAAAGCGCCTATTACACTGTACAGTAGAGACTGCAATATTTTGCAAGTTGAACTACAGGAAGCGCTGTGCCTCAGGTACCAGGGCCGGATCGAAATGCGAAGTGCAAAACGTGGAGAAACTGGTGCTTTTGCACTTCGAAAAGTTCAGATACTGCAAGTAAGGGGAGGCACTCACTTGATCGAATGACGTTTTAGCGAACGCCCACGTTTCATCGAATGACACTTTAGCGAATAGTCGGACGCCGCGAAGCGGCGTTTTCGGGTGGGCCAAATGAGTTCATATTTTTGTAATGAGTTGCCGCAGACTGTCGCCGCGAAGCGGCGTAAAGCGCAGCGCGACGGATGGGTTAACGCGCGCCCCCGTTATTCGCTAAAACGACCATTCGCTCAAATGTCGCCGTTCGCTAAAATGTCATTCGCTCTTGTGATATGGACCCGCAAGTAAGCCACGCGGAAACTTACTGTAGCTGCAAATTAGTAGCCAGCATCTGCATCTTGATCAGGTTCTGCACCGACAAAATACGAACATTTAGTAGTGCCTACTCAACGATGACCACGACTTCAGCTTACGACTTCCGAGTTGTGAACAGCATGTTCCTGTAGAGCGAAGTTTCTCGCTGTGTGCATCAGGGTCTGTGACAGCAGCATCCAGAAAACGCATTGAGATGGGCTAGCAAATTTTGAAGTCAATATAACTCCATAAACTTACCGCCGCGTACGTTTCTTACCTCGTTGCTTTTGGACCCCTTCACTATTTGTCTTGCAAGGGACCCTACACTATTTACGTTGACCTGGATACGATCGCATAACCTCTCTTTCGATTCCACGAAAAGGCTGCGCGCACTGGAAACCGAACTAGTCATTCCGATGACTTGGTTGCACTTTGTCCGCGAAGAGGTTCTTACTATTCAGGAGCCACCGGTGTAGTATTGAGTTAATTAGACATGCGGCTGAGATTATGGCATACGTGACTGCTGATCTGAGGTCCCAGTAACAGGGTAAGAATATGAACAGTTTCACCGTTCCACTACAGTGGGTTCTGGTTGCACTGGCAGTTATTTGGTAAACACAGGACCACAGGACTAAAGAGAGGAAGGAACCGCAACTCCACAACCGAACGCCGCTGTGGTGGCTGTGGCTGTGGCGGCCGGAAAAGCCGGAAACGATGAGACGAGGACGAATGGATGGATGCTAATCAGGCAGAGCCGTATATGTAGAGAGTTTGGTCAATGGGAGGCGCGGGCAGAGCCAGGGCGTGCGGCAGACTCGGGAAGAGGGCTTGGCATGCTCTCTTGACCAACCAGAAGCCGAAAAGAATCCCCTAGCGGTGGTAGCGAGAAACAGTTCTGAGCCGATCGATCATCGAAGGTCTGTGTTCGTAGATGATTTTAATAAGTGCGTAAGAGTGAAGTGTAGTGACTCTTTGTGGTTGAAAATAGGGTGCACGTGTTGTTTTATTATGATCATGCAGAAAGATGTAAGAAACGAATGCGCCGCTCAACTCTGTTTTGCGCGAACAGAGTGTGACCGCTCTGACGGCAGATTCCCGGCGCTCGGCGTTTGGCGTAAGGATTATGTCGATCTTTCCGCTAGTCGCACTCTTCCACCATCATTTTAGATGAGTGTGGTTGAAACATCACGCGTACCATATTTTCAGCCATCGAGAGTTACTCTAATGCAGTTATCAGGTTTGTTTCTCACGACCACCGCCAGGGTATTATTTCCGGCTTCTGGTTGGTCACATTCGAATTTCTGAAGACGCCCTGGGACACGCCCAGCCCGCTTTCGGCCAATGGCGCCGCTTCATTTGTCTCCTATACTTCCCAACGAATGGCCAAACTCTCTACATATACGGCTCTGTAATCAGGTAGAGCCGTATATGTAGAGAGTTTGGTCAATAGGAGGTGCGGGCAGAGTCAGGGCGTGCGGCAGACTCGGAAAGAGGGGAAAGAGGGCTTGGCATCCTCTCTTGACCAACCAGAAGCCGAAAAGAATCCCCTAGCGGTTGTAGCGAGAAACAGTTCTCATCAAAGGTCTATGTTCGTATATGGTTTTCATAAGCACGTAAGAGTGGAATGGAGTAACTTTTTGTGGTTGAAAATAGGGTGCACGTGTTGTTTTGATCATGATCATCCAGAAAGATGTAAGAAACGAATGCACCGCTCAACTTTGTTTTGCGCGGACAGTGTGTGACCGCTCGGGCGGCAGATTCCCGGCCCTCGGCGTTTGGCGTACGGATTATGTCGATCGTTCCGCTAGTCGCACTTTTCCACCATCATTTTTGAAGAGCGTGATTGAAACATCACGTGTACCATATTTTCAGCCATCGAGAGTCACTTCAATGCAGTTATCAGGTTTGTTTCTGGGGTTTCTGGCGACCACCGCCAGGGTATTATTTCCGGCTTCTGGTTGGTCACATTCGAATTTCTGAAGACGCCCTGGAACACGCCCAGCCCGCTTTCGGCCAGTGGCGCCTCCTCATTTGTCTCCTATACTTCCCAACGAATGGCCAAACTCTGCTCTGGCCTGCACCATTTGTAATGAGCGGTAGCTTGCGCCACCTAGCCCATAAATCAAAAGTATTTAATTTTTTTTTTCTTTTTCACTTGTCACGATTCGAATATGAACGCGGGAACTGCCTCGTTCGACCATTGGTTCAACGCTAAAGCTGTTTTTACTACTTTTACTTTATCTTTTTTTTGTATCTTCTGCATGACATTGCATAAATGTTGCATATCTAATGCAACCGGTACAAAAACAATTTGTATGGTTGCTCATGCATTCATTTCGATGTGAGGTGACCAGTTAATGCGGAGCACAAGTTCGTCTGCTTCTTTTGCAGGGGTTGCAGTGACATTAGAATGCCGAGCTCCAATTGGTTCCGAAAGAAGGATAATGGGTATAAACGAACTCAACTCTGTTACGTCACGGCGCGGTGGTGCTGCATCGGGCGCACTTCCGGTCTGGGGCTGTGGGCGGAAGTCCCCATGCGAAACGTGTATTCCTGCATTGTTTTGAAAGGAACCTGACAAAAACCTCCCTTGTCATCAAAGTGCCACGACTGGGACTGTACCAAAAGAGTCGAGTAAGGTTTGAAGGTCGATCAGTTTTTATGCGCTCGGTTCGCCCGAGAACGTGGATATGTGCCATGAAAAGGGAAAACCAGACGCCATCGGACCACGTTTGGTTGGGCGGGAAGCACTTTGGGTTGAATTCACAGATACTTGTGGTCATCAGATTTATTTATTTTGTCCAACATGAACGCCAGAAAACCGTCAAGTTGTGAGGACCACCTATGGGCTGCGTGATCGTTCGAACTGTCGACCGCTCTTTCAAACGTTTCTGCTTGTCGTCTGCTCTTTTAGACGTCATCGGCCCGTAGACCAACTGTTGGCCCGGTACTTGCGATAAGAAGTAAGTGCAGGCCTCAAAACACTTCAGCTTGAAGGTTGGTAAGCAGGCTCGATGCAAACAGTAGATACGAGGAGATGTTGATCATTGTTACCAGTGGCCATCGACACCGACCATCTCAGCTACGGTTCACGCTTTTGCAGCCCGAGCAACGTCGCGACTGAAAATTGCAAGCGAAATTCTCATCATGAGAATCAGGCTTTAGCGTACATTCTGCGGCGTCCACTCGGAATGAATCGCCAAATGTCACCTTATTCACGCAAAGTTTTGCAGTGTAATTCATGCCTCAGTAATTTTGCTGAGGCTGCTCAAGTAGTCAGACATTGCCAGGAAGACGTAGAATCAACAATTCCAACACGAAAAAGGGCGGGGGGGACTCACGCCGACGCCGACAACATCGCATTTCAATGGTGTGTTAATGGGCGACGGCGAGCTTCTTACCCACACTCCATCGCACATGCGTGGCGCCGGTAGCATCCGCTAGGGGCACTCCGATTTGTTTGTCAACATAAATTGGTGTGTACCTAAAGGCAGCTCGCATTGAGGTCTACCCACTACCCTTCTATCAAACCAATCAGAGCTCGGCGTCTTTCTGATGTCACCGCAACTCCTGCACAAGAAGCAGACAACTTGCTCTCCGCGTAGCTTTCCCTCGCACTGCGAAAGATACGAAGGATGCAGTGCTATGCGGAGCGCAAGCTCGTGTCAACCGGGAAGTCACGTGATGCTCCAGTGACGTCGTTTCTCCGTGTCACGCTATTTGGCCGATTAGTGTCGCGTGATTTTTTTTTAAACTTTTTTTTCGGGTTTTGTTGGCTATAACAATGGCGCGTCATTGAAAACTTTTTAATGGCGTAGATAACGCAGATTATGCCATGTCACGGAATTTTTATAGATGCATTCCCTTTGTGCTTCAATGCTTATGAGCTCGGTCACTCGATCCATCTGCCTAATTATGCCGAAATTGTTCTTGCCGCTACACTGATTCTCTATGAAATGCATTAACATTTAGCGCAGGAATTCTGGCCCTGCGAAGGATTGGAATTCCAAACCTTGCAACGGTCCACATACTATCTTCGGAGAGCCAGTCTGTTCTCTCGCGCGTCGGCTGTTTCAGATGCAGCCACCACAGCTTCCCTCAATCATCGCCTGCGGTCCACATACTGTTGTCTTCAAAGAGTCAATCTTTTGTCCCGGGTGTCCGCAGTTCCGTGCAAACGGCATCATCGCTGCGCCTTGGTTTTTTGTTGTCGCATATGTACTGCCACCGCTACGACCGCTTATCTTTCGCGGCACAGCATTGGAAGTTTGACAAAAAATTCCTTCCCTCTTGTAAGAGGGAAGGTGGACGTGGCGGACGTAATGAGCGAACGATTGAAGCAAAAGAACAAAAAGGGAACCGCGTTGTAGCCTCGCGAAATCAGTCCAGTCCTGTCCAAACCACGACCGTCCAAAAGAAAGACAGGTGCATACACCAAAGCAATAATTGCTAATTAATAAAAAACGAAAAAAAAATTTTTCAAGGGAAGTTTTTAGCACCGCTTCCCACTTTAGCGGAGCGAACGCTGGAGAAAAGGTCGCCTTCTCTGGCGTTCACTCTGCTAAAAGTGGAAAGAGTTAGGAGAGGAGCATCCCCTGAACTCTTAACCTGTCACCGACTATATGTTTAAGACTGTAGCAGTAAGCGATGGAAAGAATACTGAAACCCTACACATTTTGGCCACTGCTAGCGCATGCCCAACATGTGTGGCAACTTGTCTCCGTGCTGTAGAGAGAAACTTTGTCACTACAATACAACTATAAGCCTGGCGTCTTTAACGATTGCATCACACACAAGGGACATGCCAGCAGTGGTGTAGCCAGAAAATATTTTTGGTGCGTGTTTCGAGGTACTGGTGCAATAACACACACAATTTAAAAAGAAAAAAAAAAAAAAATATATATATATATATATATATATATATATATATATATATATATATATATATATATATATACTGTAATTGACTAAATTTTCACGAATTTTGCGAATCGCCTACAATTCGCGAAAGATACATCTAGCGAACAATTTGTGCAATATGTGAATGCTACGGAAGCTACACTCGATTCGCAAAAATTAGAACCTGCGAATAATTACAAAGTTTCAGCTTTGGCCCGATTCGCAAAAATTTGAGCCCGCGAAAATTAAGTCCGTTTACAGTATATATATATATATATATATATATAGGTAAAGTGAGGTAAATATAAAAACAATGGACCGGGAAAGGTTAATAAGTCAAAGATGCATACTGTCGGAGTTACTAATTCGAAGTTTATTACGACGTTTCGAGCGGGGACCGCTCTCTGATGAAGAGCGGTCCCCGCTCGAAACGTCGTAATAAACTTTGAATTAGTAACTCCGACAGTACGCATCTTTGACTTATATATATATATATATAATAAAGAAACATTTCAAGGGGGTGTTCTGACACCTGAACTACCCCCTTGGCTATGAGCCTGCATGCCAGGACAATACCTTTCCAAATTGAAAAACAGACAGGGGTTGGGATTGATTTCAGGAACCATACATTCTGCAGCACATGGAGCTTGTGCCCTATGTACTCTGAGCAGTGGAACATTGACACACTAAGCCACCTATCCCCTCCGACACTGTCTGCATTGCCCAGTATGTACCGTAAAATACCGAGCAAGCGCCCACTCGAAAGTTGAAGATAATCGTGAAAATATAGGGAATGGGCACATGTGAGGCCATCAATTACACATATATATGTAATGTGCATATTTTTTCAGGTGTGTCATATTTTGGTGGTGGGCAGATGCACGGTACTCTACGGTAGATGCCAGGGCCCGAGAAAAAGAAATGATATTATGGGTGATGTTTGTGCTGCACAATGTGTGCATGAGATAGACATCTTGTTATACCCCGTCATGAAAGACTTTCATTAATGGTGTTCGACTACAGACACCAGTGATTCAAACCAATTCAGGAAACTTAATAAAACAATATAAACTTCTCCAACATATTTGTGGACACACAGAAATAGCAACAGTAAGAAATGATATAACAAGAGTTCCTGCACAGAGTGCAACCATGATTTTCACACCATGATTGTCTTTCGGCACAGCTGCCTTGGAGCATCCACATCATGCAGCATAAAAGAAAAGGCGTGGTGTAACTGCTAATGAAACTACCCCATGTTCAAGCAGTAACAAGATGACAACTCGAGTTGATGCAGCTTCATTCAACATTTTTATATTTGTTTCTCAGGTTTACTGAGCATGTATAAATAAAGAAGATGAGGAAACCCCTGTTGCCATTCACTTTATTTATAATGGGATTGAAAAACATTTTTTAGCACATTATCAATTCACAATCTAACCCGATATCAAATAGCATTCAGACATATCAGGACATCGTTCTAGCATGTGTAGTAAACAATATACTTAAACAAGCTCTCGAGGAATGCCCTGAGGAATGCAACACCAAAAACCACAAAAAATGCCAATGACTCTTATTCCAGTTATAGTCATAATCAAGCGCCCAAACAATTTACATTTGACTAGATTTTGTTAAAGTGAATGTAAACAGTGTATTCTGGTCTACAAACATGACTAATTGTTACTTCACCAATGCTGCCTTCTTTTCAGGAAATAAACATAAAATCCACATACTGCATCAGCACTGCTTGAAGAGAAACAAGTTGGTTAATGTTTCCTTAAATATCACACCTGTGATTTTGCACACAAAGCACAAAAATAGTCAAAACTGGTCAGACAAACTTGAGGAAGCGTCATCAGTAGCAGCTGACATTTCTCTAATAAAAGACAGTGTTTGTGACTTCACCTTAGGCTCCGAAGAAACTAGATCTTTTAGCAAAATATTGCCTGCCACTCTCAAGTTCCCAAAAGATTCTTTGTATCCTTTACAAGCACATGACTTGATGCACTGGATCCCAGTACTGTCTGGCTTGAGCTGAGAGTTGAAACAGAGGGCAAAGCATGCACTTGAAGATGAAATTATAAGCTCGTTGAGGCAAGTTGAAACACATACAATATACTATAAGGAAAATATTGCGATGTTATCATATTCCACGCAAGTGTCCTTATCCGAGTATGGCTGCTAGGAAATAATATACCCGCAGCAACAGAATGTAGACAGGACGTGCCTCAAGCATTATAGTAGGCAAGGCCGACTTTTCATAGAAATTATAATGCATATTGTTCATCGAGCAAACAATATATAATTAGTGACAGCATTGTAAAGCTCAAAGGCAAGAAAGGAATATAGGGGTATCTGCTTTAGAGATACGTGGTACCGAACTCTTGCAGAAAAGTCAGCTTGCACTTTTTATACGTGGCTTGTATAGATGTCATATCAGCCGCCATTGCTCCGTATCGTGCTCCTGTGCCCGTACCTTCTACAGCATACATTTGGCACCCTCCATTCTGTTCTTCTCGGCAAGGTTTGCCGACAACACATTCAATGGTATGAAATGTATGCTGCGGAAGGTACGGGCGCAGGAGCATGATACGGAGCAAAGGCGGCTTTGGTACGGTGCCAATGAAGTCGGGTGCAAGGCATGAATAGCCTATGCCACCAGTGGCGTAGCCAGGATTTTTTTTTTTTTTTTTTTTTCAGATTTTGGGCGGGGGTTTGACGCCCTATAAGCTCTCCTCCTGGCTATGCCACCATATGTTAGACACTCACTATGCTAAATAGCTCCACAGAAAGAGTTGGTATTGGCGAAAAGGCAGTTAGACATGATGCACCTAAGCATCGCCCACAACAGACCGACAACACAAATTTCAGTGGTGAGGTGCCTTTGATGAGCAGGCGGCGATTTTCCCTCTTTGCGGCGGGTGAGGGTACCATATCCTCGCAGCAATCCCCCTATCGATGAGGTCTTTGGCGACGTTCATCCTCACTTGGCCGTTCTCTCCAGTTATTACAAACATGTCTACCTGATACACGCCCGCCTCGGAAGTTCCATAAAAGACGGCCTCCAGCTCTGCGCCTGGCGTGACGCACCAGTCCGCCATGTCTCGAAGACGCGTGCTGCTGGGCGACGTCAGGCGGCGAAGAGAACAGGGAACAGCCAGGCAGGGAATCTTGGCATCAATTTCAGACAGGGGAAACAGCTTGTTCATGCCCAGCACCAGGGTAAGTCCGTAGTCCACACAGAAGACCTCGGCGGATATGGGCATGCCGAAGCCGTCCTTCTGAACGTCTAGCACGAAGGCCCTGGCGAGGTCGAAGTTCCTGCCGGTGTCCGCTACGCAGTAGGCACCCACATTCAGCGTGTAGAAGTGCTCAGTCTGTCCGCGGACGAAGTCTCGGATGTACGGATCGCGGTGTTTGTCGTCCTTCAGCCTGAGCCAGAACTTTGTAGGGCTGATGAAGTTGCTGACCCAGACGGGCAAAGGGACCTTCATCGGAATATCTGTGAGCTCGGGGATGAGCGGAACTTGCATTGCTTGGAACTCGAATATCAGCTGCGCGGAAGCCAAAGCTGTCAGCGGCTGACCACCGCCGATCAGTTAAACCCAGCAGATGGCAGAGCGTAGCTGAACGGCTGAACCCCCAAGCTACAGTGGGCTAGCTGAGCTGAGCCAGCTGAGCTGTATTTCGTGAGCTGAACAAGCTAAACAAAGCACATTTACCGCGTGAACCAATATCCGAAGTTCCGAACGCCCCAACGTTGCGTGAACAGGCGTGAAGTCTTGAGCGCCTTGAACCGAGGCTTCAACAGCACAGTCAACCAAGCCAGCCGCCGGATGGCCAGCCACCGAACTTTCTTTCTTTTTTTTTTTTTTTTTTTTTTTTTTTTTACGTAGTTTCAGCTAACGTTTGTTTCAGCCAGCGTTTGTTTCAGCAGTTCAAGCGTTCCAAATTCGGCGGTTTTCGTAGACCGTTTCGTTTCCGTCTCAGGCCGCTAGGGACTGCAACATGCTGTAAAGTTGGGGGGATAGATGAATATTGGGCTGTTCCCTTTATATCGGGCGGTAACTTGCGCCACCTAGCCTTAAATAATAATTAAGAAATTTGTTTTTCTTTTTTGTTTTATTATTTTTTCCCTTTACCTCTCTGCAACTATCACCGGGCAGGTAGAGTACTTTCTAGGAAGACCTTTGGGGGATCGGGCAAGAAAAATAATTAATTAATTAATTAAACACCGCCCCCGCCTCCTCCCCCGGGCCCCGGGCGAGCGGTGTTACTGGTGTTACCCCCAAACCACACCCACTGGGGACAGGTGTGAGACTTTGGGCAGGAGCCACGCGGGAGGAAGTCCCAATATTCCTCTGTCCCTCCTGACCCCCAACTGTGCTAATTGTTCGTCCTTGTTTCATTTTCCCTCGATTGTATCCACCAGCTTTCCAATGTCCTTTTTGTGATGGTAACCCTTTTTTTCTCCATTCTTCCATCCTCGTCCGCAAAACCGAGCGCCCCCGTCAAATCCGCCGACACCTCTGAGAGAGCAGGACGAAGCCTCGTACATTCTAAAACAAGATGTTCTCTTGTTTCGTTCTCATTTTGGCAAGTGGCACATACCCAGACAACACCTGGACATCCCCAGGATGTCCTCAGGACAACCTTTTGAGGACTGTCCTGAGGATGTCCTCAAATTATCCTGGAAACATCCTAAAAACGTCCTATTGTCCGGCCTCAGGACATCCTCAGAACGTCCTCAGGAGGGCAGCCAAGGATTTTTCTAGTACATTTTTAGGACAATGCACTGCAGGTGCAGCTGTTCACTGAGCTGTTAGGATGCTTTCATTTTTATTGTTTCTAGGTTTTCTCCAACTGGATTTTGAACCTGAAGATGCCTGCAAGAGCTGCCTGCAGAAAAAAAATGCATTGTTGTGCACTATTTTAAAGTGAAATTCACACACTAACTCTAGATTACTAGTCAGTGAGAGGCTAAGAACATAGGGCAAGGGAAAGGAGGAAGAAAGCTGGCGGGATGCTGAAGAGGAGAGAAGAAAACTTCTCCCCGCCAGCATCCTGTCGGCTTTCTCCTCTGCGTATTTCCTTGCGCTATGTTCTTAGCCTGTAACTATGAGCATGATCGTGCCATTAATTGTTGCAAACAAAGGTAACTAACTGTTCAAGAAATACTTCATTGGAGAGCAAATGTTATACATGACTTTTTTCAATGCTGCACCAGACGTGCAGTCTGGCTTCGCATCTTGGCCAGCACTAGTCCGAATAGTCAGCGGGATCTACAAAAAGAAAAACCGATTCCATAAGCATTAATAATAAAAACAGGTAATGTGAGAAACTTACCATCATTTCGAACACCTCCGGCCTTTGACTGCAGCCTTTTCAGTTTCTCTCCAGCGTGGCGCAGCCATACTTTGATGATGGTCTCCACGTCAGCTTTGTTTTCGCACTCAACAATTGATTTCACTGCTCCTAAAACATTGATTTGTGATGACAGTCACAGAAGAAAGCAAAGATGGTCTAGAAAAAAATCACAATTAATGTGCGTGCGAGGAAGACACCCTTGCTACCGAGTCTACTTTCGCACAGTTGAAACGCCGGCATCTTTCCCGCCGAAATTGCCGTTCATTGCTTTCCGTCATTTCGAAGAAGTACTACATTTAAAAACACACTAACCTTTGCCACTGCCTTGCATTGCTGCCATCATACATTTGGATGGAACAGCGCGGATATACAGACTCGCAGCGCTGACTAACAACTCAGTGATATATTTCTTCTTCCTCAAATCGTCATCATCTTCTCCTTCGCCGTTAATGAGAACATTTTAAATTTTTAAACACAAGAAACCAAATAGCCAATAAACATTAATAAGTAAATAATAAATAAATAAATGACAATTAAAAATAAATAAAACCAAGAAAAAAAAGTGTAAAGAATATTTTTTAGAAAATAAGTTACAATTAAAAATTAAACTTAAAAATTAATTTTTTTTTATTTTTTAAGTGTGATTTATTTTTAGTTGTCATTTATTTATTTATTTATTTATTTATTTATTATTTATTAATGTTTATTGGCTATTTGGTTTCTGGTGTTTAAAAATTTAAAATGTTCTCATTAACGGTGAAGGAGGAGAAGATGACGATATGAGGAAGAATAAATATATCACTGAGTTGTTAATCAGCGCTGCGATTCTGTTTCCTTCTCGTGTGCCTGTGAGTGTGACTGTATCCGCGCTGTTCCATCCAAGCATGAATTACCCACTAGCCCAAGCATCCACATTATCAACCATCATGAACCTCGACGCTATTTCTGTTTCTGTCCTGGCTAGGATTACAGTGTACTAGAATACTTGGGTAGTGTTGGGACCAAGGGGGCTCGCCTGAAGCGTGTATTCAGTATGGCCGCACTTCCTCCGACGCCCGTCGAAGGAGTGACATCTGTGTGCAAATCACGGCCGCACTTCCTCCGACGCCCGTCGAAGGAGTGACATCTGTGTGCAAATCACTCCTCCGACGCCGGAAGTGACGTAACGGAAGTGACGTCACCTTGTTAATTATTAATAACTAATATAAATCATTACTACATACAGAATATAATGTGCCTTTGAAAATAAGTACAAATAAAAATAAACCTGTTCGATTTTAATGTAGCTTTACAGTAAAAGGTCACGTGACTAAACATTTTCGTCACAACATTTGTTTATTTACAACTTTTTAAACGCAGCCTGACAAAAGTTGTGAGTTATAAAAATAGTATTACGCGACTACGTCACTTCCGGCGTCGGAGGAACGATTTGCACACAGGTCCCACTCCTCCGACGCCCGTCGGAGGAAGCACTTCCATTCAGTATTCAGTATTCAGTTGCACCAAAACCCTTTCGCATCAGGGCGGTCGCTCCGAAAGGAACGTCGCAGGCGCGTTAAAAAGAAAAAAAATGTTGTTGATATGACGTTAAGAAAGAAAAATAACAGAAAAAGAGAAACCACCAAAAATTTGTGTCCACCACTTGGCCCGTAACTCCAGACGGTCTGACTTGGCTTGGCTCCCATGTGACCCGTTCGTCCGCTACACGGCGACACTACAGCGCCACAGCGGCAACACTGGTCACAGACTCTCACAAGTCGCAACAGCCGCCGCGGTCTCCGTGGAGTCACGACATCGGACAACTGATGCGCAGACCTCAATGAAAGTTTTTGAGGTGGGCGGGCTCTGTGTCGTCCTGGCTCGCTGGGGCCCGGAGGGCTCTGGCTTCGGACTCCTCAGCAGCGCGGCAACACTTTTCCCACCTTGCTAGGTGACGCTTCGTCGCTTCCACCAGCTCTGCCTCGCGTTGTCGAAGCAGCGGCTGTGGTGGTCCTGTGTTCTGCCGCTGTTCGTGTTCTGGGTGTTTCACCAGGCCCAGGACTTCGTCGATGGCCCTTCCTGCCGTTTCGCTTGGTTGTAGACGCGGGCACTGGCCGAAGATGTGATTGATGTCCTCGTCCCCGAGGCCACATAGTCTGCACGTCGCGTCATCCCCGAAGAGCTCTTGTCTTCTTTTCCGCGTGAGCAGTGCGCCGGTCCGGGCCTGGAAAAGAAGGGCGCTCGCTCTGTCTCCCCGATAGTGGTGGTAGGGAGCTGGTGCACTCTTGTGTTCCCGATATCGGGCGAGCGACCGCTTCTTCTTCATTGCCTCTTGCCACAGACATGTTCCCCTCGCAGTGATCTCTGTTCGTGTTGTCCTTGTCCACTGTTTCTCGCCAGTGGCCGCATGTCGCTCTGTGCCTGCACTAAATTTGCTATCTATGGCCGTTATTCTCCTAATCCACCCTGTTCTAATTCCCCGGTACCTGATGTGCTGGTACATTCGCCTGGCGTACCTTTCGCTGGATAGGAACGCCAGGCGACCAAGGTAGTGGGACTTCGATTTGGCCTCTCTTACCTCATGGGTCGACCACCCCATTTCCCCCGTCACTGCTGTATTGGCTGCGCAGCAGTTTGCTCCCAGGAGCCACCGTCCTATCTCGGTCTGATGTCTGTCGAGAAGTTTCAGTTGGGCTGATCCGAGTGCTACCGCGTCGTTTGCATATGTTATTGCTGGGACTGCTGTTGTCTTCCATAGCGTTCTTCCTACCGCATATGTATTGTAGGAGTGTCTCGCCAGATGCCAGACTTTTCCCTTCAGCTTGCTTGATTTTGCCACCACTGCTGCTTCGTGTTTGGCCAAATAGTCGTTAGTGCTCTGGATTTTGATACCTAGGTATGTGTATTCTGTAGTTTCTTCGAGCTGTTGGTCTCCAATGTGGAAGTTTGCTGTCTTCGTTGAATTGAACGCCATCCACTGAGTTTTATCCTTGTTAAACCGGAAGCCATCTTGGTGTGCTACCACTGCACAAATGTCCAGAAGGTGCTGCATATCCGCCTCGGACTCGGCGAGCAGCACCAAGTCGTCTGCAAAGGCGAGGCAGGGGATCCTGGTGTACTCCTGATCGCCTTCCTTGGTCACAGTTGTAAAGCGAAGCCCAGGGCCTTTTTCCTCTAGTTCGGCAATCAAGTCATTAATGTAGATATTGAAGAGCGTAGGAGATAGTGGACATCCCTGTCTCAGTCCGATTATTGATCGCGACAGGTGTCGCGTCCGGCGCCTTATCCGGAAGGTGTGCGCGTGTGCGGCTGCACGCGCGAAAATATAAATCTTTGGTGCCGCTTTGGTGGAGTGCACGTAGGATTTCTGATACAGCTACAACCTGCCAGCGGTCGTACCGCGGCATCAATTACGCTGCGGCACGATCGTTAGACACATGGTGCTTCAATCATAGAGTTATTATAATGTACGCTAGAGGTTCAACTGGCACTAGTGTCTATGCGACTTCCGGGAGGCAAATTGAAGCAGACAGCAACCAGTCTACTTCTGCGGTGCTCCTGTGCATTCCTATGGGAAAACGCACGAGCATTTTGTCTCTTCGCCGGAAAATAACATGAATAACTTTTATTATTTCGGTTGTACCGGATAGTATGTACATTT